ATGGGATGGGATGGGATGGGGTGGGGTGGGATGGGATGGGATGGGATGGGGTGGGAGGAACAGGGATGGGCCCCCACCTTTCAGCTTCCTCAAGGACGCTTCAGTCTCCGTCTCAATCAGGGGAAAATCCTGGCGGCTTGGACAGCTGGGAGGGCCGGGATGGGGGGCGGTCAGAGCCAGGACCCCTCAGCCCCATCACCCCACACCCATCCCCCTTTTCCCCTCCAAGCGCCCACCACTGCCCACCCTGTAACCCCGGCGATTCCACGAGGTTCCCAGAGATCCCGGGGCGTTCCCAGCCGTCCCCAAGCTCCCGGGACACTCACAGGCTGACGGCCTGCTGGATGACCTTCATCCAGTGGTTGCGGTCGTCCCGGGAAGCCGCGTGCACCTCGTACATCTCGGGCGGGGCCGCGCTGATCAGGAACATCCCCTTCTCCTGGTTGGCGATGTCCCGCACGATCAGGTTTTGCAGGGAGATGACGGCTGGCTTGTCCTGCGGGATCGGGGAGCGCTGGGAATGGGGAACGCTGTCCCGGAGCCCCGCTGGGGGCTGGAGTGAGGAGGGGGCGGCTCACCAGCATGGGGAAGGTGTATTTCTGGTCCTTCTCTTGCAGGAACACGAGCACATCCGTCATCAGCAGCACCAGGACATCTGGGATGCGCCAGGATGAGCCGGGATGAGTGCGGGGGCTTCACCCGCCGAGCCCCCCCGAGCCCCAGGGCTGACCCCAAATCCAGCCACGGAGGAGACGGGGTCTGCCAGCATCCTGCCTCACGGGCATCCCGCATCTCTTGGGACCCCCGTTCCATGAGAGGCTCCCCAGTATCCCCATCCCCTGCTCCCTGGACATCCCCCAATCCCCTTTTCCCCCCCACTCCCCACCTTTGAAGCGCCCGGCCGCCGTTTTCCAGAGCATCCCCCCGCTGTGCACCAGCTTCCTGCGGAGCAGCTCGTCCCTGCCGAAGGCGCCGGGGCGGCTGTCCCAGAGCAGCGGCACCTTGGCGCGGGGATCCACACGCCGGAAAACATCCCAGAGGCGCCCGCGGAGCTCCCAGGCGTGAACCTCCTCGTCCACGGCCGAGAGCAGCTCCTTCACCAAGCGCAGCGCCCGCGACAGGTCGGCGCAGTCCCCCTCGTTGTCTGCCAGGAGGGGAGGGACGCTGGAATTCCGGCCCCGCCACGCCCCCGGGTCCCGGCCCCGCAACGCTCCGGGGATCCCGGCCCCTTCCCGCCCCGGGGGTCCCCGCCCCTTCCCGCCCCGGTACCTTTGGAGTTCTTGAGGATGCGCTCGATGAGCACCGGGTACTTGGTGATGCGCTGCGTCACCAGCAGGATGCACTCGGGGACGCCGTGGCGGCGCAGGAGCGGGGACCGCGTCACCCGCTGGGGGGAGAGGGGGGACACACGGTCAGCAGGGCCCCCAAAAGCAGAGACCCCCATCAGCAGGGATCCCCCTCCATCAGCGACCCCTCCCCAAAGCGGAGACCCCCCCCCAGAGCTCAGTGAGGGAGGGACACAACTTGGGGAAACTGAGGCATGGAGTTGGGAGAAGGGTTTTCCACCGGGGGACAAAGCCTGGAATGTGCAGGGGGACCCCGACCCCCATCACGGGGGTGCCTCCAGAGGATGGAGACCCCGACCCCCAGCCCGGGGTCCCCACGGAGCCCACCCGGATGAACTGCTGGAAGCGCTTGTCCCGGGCCAGCAGGTCCTTGTACTCCTTGAGCGCCTTGGTGTGCTTGCTGCAGAACTCGGCGTAGGCTTTGCGCAGCTGCTCCGCGCTCGGGCCAGAGAACTTGGCAGGGGGAAGGACGAGGGGACATCGGTGAGCGCGTCCCCCCCTCTGCCATCCCCGGGCTGAATCCCATCCCCCCCCATCCCGGCTCCCTGGTGTCCCCTCTGCCCACCTGGGTGACGAGGATGTCACCGAGGCGGTCGATGACGAAGTTCTTGTTGCTGTCCTGGGCCAGCGATTCCCGGCGCCGCTCCAGGAGCTGGGCCAGGAAGCGCTCGTGGATGTGGCTGAGCTCGTCGAGGCAGGGGAAGATGCGCTGGACGGTGCCAGGGTCCAGCTGCAGCTCCTCCAGCATCGCCCTGCGGAACAGGGCGCCCATGATCTTCAGCGTCCGCACGTGGTGCAGCTCCGTCTGCATCAGCTCTGCGGGGGCACGGCGCGGTCACCACGGGGACAGGGACAGCACCCCTGGGACAGGGACAGCACCCCCGGGACAGGGACAGGGACAGCACCCCCGGGACAGGGACAGCACCCCTGGGACAGGGACAGGGACAGCACCCCAGGGACAGGGACAGCACCCCTGGGACAGAGACAGCACCCCTGGGACAGGGACAGGGACAGCACCCCCGGGACAGGGACAGCACCCCTGGGACAGGGACAGGGACAGCACCCCCGGGACAGGGACAGCACCCCCGGGACAGGGACAGGGACAGCACCCCTGGGACAGGGACAGCACCCCTGGGACAGGACTGGCACCCCAGCAACAACACAGAGGGAACAGGACCCCAGGGACAGCCACCCAGCATCCCTGCCCCATCCCTGTGTCCCTCTGTCCTGTCCCTGTGTCCCTGTGTCCCCGTGTCCCCTGTCCCCATGTTCCCTGTCCTGTCCCTGTGTCCCCTGTCCCCGTGTCCCCTCACCGTAGATGACATCCTGCCGCTTCATGACGTCCATGCGGTGCTGCTGCAGGAAGCTGTTATCCACCGCCAGGCTCCAGGAATCCGCCTCGAACTCCTTCCCATCCGCCTCCAAATCGCTCAGCAGCTGGCTCAGGATGACGTCAGGGCCTGCAGGTGACATCAGCGGGACATGGAGTCCCTGTGTCCCCCCCCGGGCCCTCACGGCCCCACCGTGCCCCCACCTTCGTCGATCAGCGACTCCACGGAGAGCGTCCGGTTGCGCATGTTGAGGGAATCCGTGGATTGGGACAGGATCCGCCGGATGCCCAGGGGAGAGTCATCGTTGAACGTCCTGGGGGAGGCAGTGGGACACAATGGGGACACCGGGGACACCCCTGGAGCCCCCCGTCCCCTGCGCTTCCTGCCCTTACCCCGAGATGTTGGTGGTGGAGACGCTCTTGGAGAGGGACAAGGAGGGGCGGCCGCGGCGGGGCCCCAGCAGCGTCTGCCGGAAACTCTCCGAGGGGTAGATTGCGGAATTGGGGCGCTCCCGGATGGCATCTGGGGGGGGACAGTGGGGGGACAGTGCTGGGACCCCCCTGTCACCCCCCGGGCTGAGCAGGGACACCGGGAAGGGAAGGGAAGGGAAGGGAAGGGAAGGGAAGGGAAGGGAA